CCTCTAACCTTTTCTCCTCTGACTCTATGGCTGCTTCGCATAGTTAAGGCATGCTGTCATTAACTGCTCAAGAGTGAAATGGTTTTAGTCAGAAAAGGGGAGGAGGGCACGTTTAACAGGAGAAAAACGGATTTAATGTGTATGAAGCTTTAAATGAAGCATGATGAAAATGAGAAACAGGAGGATGAGATGAGGGTGTAGGAAAACATGACTCCTTGACATCATAATAATGTCTTTTCGAGGTTTATTTATATAGGTTAAAATCACAAAATTGTCCCAGAGGACTTTTATCAGATTCTTCATTCAGATAAGGATGAAAAACATTCAACAAATCAGAGTTTAAGAACTTGACGTTACACCCCAAAGCCTCTTGTGTGACATATTACTAAATATTAAAGTCAACTGAACGCTCCAAGCAAGATTGAAGTTACAAAACAAGTTTCCACACTGCTCTGGATGCATATATGCAGAGCTTTGGGGCACATGTAAGTACAGCAGATATCATCATGCTACGTTTTGTGGGACCTCCGCAGATTTTTCAGTGTCTGGTAGTGATCAGACGGCTCTCCTGGTGTTCTGCCTCTCTCTCCTGCATCTCCTCTTACACTGCAGGTGTCTTTTATTGAGCCAGCGGTGATTTACTGTACTCTTGTTTTTCTCCTTGCTCCTGCAATCAGGCACTGTGGTAGTGACAGGTTAAAGCTTGAGGTCAGAACATTTCACGTACGTGCACACGCAGCAGCAGAGAACAGAGTGCGTCTCTAATAGGAGGTCATTATCAGAGAAGTTTGGCTTTTAGAGGGAGGCAAAACTCCGGAGAGCTCGGAGCTTTCTTTTTTTAACAAGGTGAGAGGTTTATGTGGGCAAAGCTCAGGTCTGAGGGTGTAATAGTATACAGTAGGCTCCAAGATCGTTAATCAGAAACACATTTGTTATGTTGCTCTGCCTCTTTTCTTAGCAAATATGTGTCTCTGTTGAAAATAGCAGTATTAATAAAAGTCTGAATCCCATCTCTGAAAGTAATATGCCTGGAATCATTGCATTATTTATGCAGCCTTACAAAGCCAGAGAGCAGTTACAGTGATGTTGAGGAAAAAAGGGTTTGAGGTTTGAATGCTCTTAGCCAAATGTGTAACTGATATATAAGTTGTAAAAGCTTAATTTTATGCCTTAAGGCTGATTATTAATCACTGTGACAGACTTTACATAAAACCTCTATGTTTGGACAATCTAAAGTGCTGAAGGAAAATGTGCTCTTGTTTCTTCTTCGGCTTTATTGTTCATTTGAACTAATGAGCAAATGAAAAAAAATAATCTTAAATGAAATCAATTGAAATATGTGATGGCATATATGTGATCAGAATCAGAATCAGAATTGGGTTTATTGCCAAGTAAGTTTTTACACGTAGAAGGGTACCTTGGTGCGTTGGTGCATAAAAATCACACAAAAATCAAGTACTTTTTAGAATATAAATAAATAAACATAAAGATAGAAAGATCTAAAACGGTACAGGAAAGATATTTACAACATGCAGGATAGAAAAACTAACTGGAGTGCATTAATGTAATGCATATATACAGGTGGGGTTTAAGGGTCAGTGTCAGTTGGGGTTCCGGGCCTTGTTAATGAAACCAGCCGCAGATGGCCGCCTGAGTCCGCCATGACGTCCGCCTGAGTCAGAGGCCGTAGAAACAGCCGTAACTTCTACTTTGCTAAAGTAGATTAGATTTTATGTGGTATAAGAAAATCAATTGCTAAGATGTTGGTGTTTAAAAAAATATATTTTTGGATTACAGGAAATAGGGAAATATGGGTAAAGTAGCTTTAACTAAGGCTAACTCACCGCTAACCTTATCTAGCCAGAGTGCAGTCGCTGCAGTTTGGTTTTTACCTCCACCGCCACCGAAGTTTCACCAACACACTTTACAGCCTGTTTTTATTCCCAGGTCGTCAAATCAGACGCAAGTGGTGTTCAGTTAGTTGCAATCTGCAGCTTCACTGATGCCACCAAATCCTACACACTAGTCCTTTAATTCATTTTTAACTACATATGTATTTACTGCATTTTGACTTTAGGGCAGTGTAGTCATAAGGTTGATATTAGATGATGGTTGTAAGATGAACGTCCTAACGCTGGCAATGGTGAATAAAAACCCTCTCTTTATCCCTGCTTTAGTGCATACTTCTGCTTAGCGCACATGATATTCAGTGAACTTGTACCTCTGTTTTAAAGCTGATACCCTGTTCTTTTACCTCTTAAATATCCCCAAAACAAAATCCACATCCATCCTCTCCAAGCACTTAGAAAGTATTTGCAATTCACAACAGCAGAATAAGCTCTGGAAATAGTAGCTTTATGGGTTGTACTTGCTTCAGGAGGGCTCACCCACTTTAACTAACTGTGAACAACAACTGGAGCACGGTGAACCAACAATGCAAATGGAAGGTGACAAGAACCCCGGTCTCCCTGCTGCAGACATCCAGCCTGATGGACAAACCAAAGGCTTTAATCAGCCCAACGAGGAAGAAACACATGCTCAGTTCTCTAAACACACATAGAAACACGCACATGCACACTGTTTGATCTAAAACTGTACACACACACACACACACACACACACACACACACACACACACACACACACACACACACACACACTATCAGTAGGCTTGTGTCAGTCTGGAGCTCTTCAAGGACCAGTGTCTTGCTCCTTCTCTTCTTCCTCTCTCCACCCTGCGACTCCCCCACCCATCTCATCCCTGAAAAAGGCTGCAGGCGTCGGGCTGTAAACAGCTCCAGAGTGCTGGGGTGAAATGAACCAGCAGACAGGCCCGTGTAGACTCCCAGCTTGCTGATCTAAAAGGGGCTAAACATTCCCAGCTGTGGCATTAGGGACTCAGACTGGCACCTTTCCTGAGGATGTGTACCGCTCTGTCCAGAGATGGAGGGAGTCAGCACTGTTTGGTTTTATGTTGCGGCAGTGGTCTGCAGTCTGTCTGTTTAGCTGAATTATGCTCAGTTTGTCTCTCCTCATCCTCTTGCTCTTTCTCCCACTCTTCAGCGTCTGTAGCTTTGCTTTCCCTCAACTGAATTGCTACAGCTGGAACACGCAGGATTGCATAAATGCATCAACAGGTCTTATCGTGACCTGTGATCTGTAACCTTTTGTCAGTCTTCCATCTCAGTGCACAGACAGAACTGCTGGGATTGTTTTTGACTGTTAAATAAACGTGGTCCTCCACATATCGGTGAGATCTACAAATACATGAACAGTACATGGTTTAATACATTACTGTGGGCGTACAGTCTTGTTGCAGTTCAGCGCCAAGATTATACAAAGCGTCTTAGAGATGACAGATGTGGCTTCAAAGATGTTGGATGTATCTGTGGGTGGGAAGTTGTTCCAAAAGATTTAAATAGATCAGACATTATGGCTCAATCGACGATTTGATTAGAAAGCAAGAAGGTTAACTTTATTTGTCACAACAGAAGTACTTTACAGGAGAAAGAAAAGTGAAATTGTAAATAAAAACAGGCAGTGAAGACAGAGCGTATAAAAGTGGGATTTACAATGCTTTTTAAAGACGTGTGCTGATTTGGCTTCTCTGAGATGTTTTGGGAGGCAGCTTTATGATTATAGTTTTTAACCTTGGTCTGAAGACCCGAGGCTCCTCCCAGTGGTCAGGAGCCCCCACAACTCTTTAAATACAATGAATCAATTAATTTAAATTTAATAAACAACCATTTTCAGCAAGATAAAAATGAGGGTGTGCGAGGAAAACAGAAAAAACAACAGAAAAAATGTCTGCTACACAAAATTATTTTACTTTTTTCTTTCTCTAATGTTTGCTTTTTTATTGTAAAAAGTATTAACATAAAACAAAATAACAAAATACTGATTGGTTGAGCTGGTCACAAGTGGTAGACATACTATATGCAGTTGGTGATGAGGAGTCTCAAGTAAATATAACTTTGTATTAAGTGGTCACCAGATAAAAATGTTGGGATCCACTGGAATAAACGATTAATTGGAAAATAATCAAATCAGACTTACTTCTGTATTCACATGCCCAGTGTTATTGGTTGTTGTAATCATTCCTCTTGTTCATATAAGAGGAACTAATTCTTTTCAACAGTCATTTAGTACAAAAATTAGTATAACGTGGATATTTAATCATATTTTCACCACTTTGCTCCAGACAGAAAACTATTGAATGGATTGCTGTGAAATCTTTGAACAGATGTTTACGGTGCACAGAGGATCAATCTGGAGGACTTTTGTGATCCCTTTTCCTGTAGCATTACTTTTTTGTAGAATTGATGCAAGATAGGTGAGGTGACAAGTTCCTTCCACTGAGGAAGGAACTTCCCCCAATTGAAGTACGTGATGCTCTGACCTCCGCTGAGTTTCACATTAGGGCGTCCACAAAAGAACCTGATGACCGCAGCCAGTACAATCCTCCACACTGCACGTACTATATATAAACATCTGCAGCCGTGACACTTCTTATCACCTGTACTGCATCTCTGTGGCTTTTTGTCTGGGACCTCCGCGAAGTGCTCTCGCTATGCCTGGTTCCCCCTGCTTGTGCCTCTGCCACAGGAATAACCCTGAAGAATGCCTTTGACAAGTGTATCGCAGATGCTGCCTTTTGTTGTCGGACTGGGGCTGTTTGCATGGATGTATGAACCGACAAGCCAACACTGGCCACACTAGCTGGCAGCAAACACTGGCCTTTTACTGAAGCAACAACAAACACAGCGTCCTCATGCATTGAGGACGTGATTTATGTGACATGTTGGCTTGCTCAGGGGCCCGCGGGGCTGTTTTTTTTTACAGTATCTGGACAATTGTGGATGTATAGACATCATATCACCCGCATGTTGTGCCTTTAGTTTATGTTACCCTTTTCAAGGGCAGTTCTGGGAGGAGGAAAGTTGACAGAGTGAAGCCTTGTTCTTGTTCTTACATTCCTCTCTCTTTCTCTTTCTCTCCAGGTGGGACCAGATGGAGGGTTCGGAGGAAGGATAGACAGGAGATTACTTCTGTAATGTCAGCAAGAGCCAAGGTTTGTCAAGAATGGACGTTGTTGCCAAAAGAGCACCCTGAAAATATCCTCTCCTTCATCTGCTGCTGCTTTTTTCTTTCTCTTATCTTCTACCACTTCCTCTACTCTCCATCGCTATCTTTTTTTTTTCTCACTCTTCGTATTTGCTGTTCACTTAAATTAAATCACCATCTCTGCAAATAACCTAGCCTTATCATTTTTCATTTCCACTGTACAGACCACTATAAACCAGAGGAGGAGTTATGTGTAGGTATAAACTGTTAATGAAATCCATCCCCGCAAGGCTCAGAACTGAGCTTTCCATAAAACCATGTCAGCGCCGAAGCTTTCATTGCTAAATTATAAGCCAGTGGACAAAGCTTGATCCAGGGCGGAAAGAAAGCAGAGTTATTTGACTTAGGTCTTACTGAAGAGTAAGTGAGATCACTTTTGATGATATAGGCTTAAGATGAAGTACTTCTGTAGCTTGTTTGAAGAGCTTTAGAAGAGCTGCGTGCTCTTCTAAGTATTATCTTATTTTCTTAATCTGTTTTATATCTGCAAAGCACTTGTGAACTAAGTTTTGTTATTAAGTAGCAATATGGTAACGATGAGAGCAAAAGACCAAACAGTCAGTTCCTCTGGTGTTGACCTCCTTTTCTTAGTAAGACAAAAGACGAGAGCTCAGAACCAGCAGCAGAGCTGTATGCCACTCGGGCCTTTCTGGAAATAGCTGAGAACAATGCGTCATCAAAAATCTACTTAAAGGAATATTTTAACATTTTGTCAAATAAAGTTGCTTTCTTGATGAGCAGGATGAGACAGATATCACTCTCATGTCTGTATGCTAAATATGAAGCTAGGGACAACAGGTGCTTAGCTTAGCATAAAGACTGAAAACAGGGGGAAAGCGCTAGCCTAACTCAGTCCAAAGGTAAAAAAATAAATACAAAACAACAACAGCGCCTCTAAAGTTCACAAACACATTATATATGTTTGGCAAATATGATGCTTTGGTTTCATATAGTGTACGGACACTTTATAAAAGAAAGAAAAAAAATAAAATAAAAATTCTTGCCTTTTTATACGTATTTGATTACCATGCATCATTATAAATCTACTTGCACCAAAGCCACACCAATCAGTTTTTCTGTGTGAACAGTAAATCAAATTAGTATGAGTATAATGAAAGGGCTGCAGTTCCCCTCAGCTTTAATTCGCTTTTTAATGTTTTACATTGATTGGTTTGGTTTTATGGCCTGCATCTTTACTGTTTTAGACTACCTGGCCAGCACCAAACAACAGACCGACAAAGTTAGCAACTAGCTTGTTAACATAGTGAAGTATTAAGCAGCTAAAGGGCAACACATTTCCCTCAAGAGTTGGCAAAGAGCAAAATAGAGCTGAAAGAAGAGTGAATATTGGACATAAAATGTTCCAGGTGAACAGAAACGTGACTCCAGTTTACATTTTTAAAAATGCTGAAGTAATTCTGTGTCTGCCAGATGTGTAAATAATAAGTCAGTTGTTTGCTAACAGATTCACTATGTCAGCTGTATCAGTGTTGTATTTACCACTTGTTGCTCTGTGCCAAGTGGCAAAAAAAAAATTAATACAAGTACTGAAAAAATTACCAATTAATAAAAAGGCTACCGAATTACAGCAGTGAGAGTACTTGTAATTAGTTACTTTTCATGCCCTGGTGGCAACTGTCTTTTTGCATGGCAATCCTTCATTCACTCTTGATCGTTTACTATGCTAACTTTTGGCATAGAAAAATGACACTTCACAAATCCTTAAACAAATTTCTTTTTGCCAGCTAACATGTGACCTCTGTCACTTGTAGGTGCTGCTGTGGGTGCTCCTCTCTCTGCTGCCTCTAGTGGAAGGAGCTCATATGAAAGCTGGCTTTGCCGGTGTGGCATCAGACTCGGGTCATGCTGTGGGCCTGCTGGGAGGCCAGGAGGAGCGGGAGCTTCCTGTGACGCTGCCAGAGGTGGTGGAGGACGAGGAGCAGGAAGATGACAGTGACCCTTACTCCACTTGGCATGCTCTATATGGTACTGAAGCTCCTATGAAAGTGTAATTTACAGCACATCTGCTTCAACAGACAGTATTCAAGTGGAGAGAGGGCGTGAGCCTGGGGATCTGCTTTGTATCTCAGTCAGCAAAATATATTTATATAGAATTTAAAGTGCGACAAGTTATTTAAAGTTAAAAGGTAGTAGTGAAATTGGAGAATTTGTGTGTTATTGCTCATAATTTCCTGTCTTTCTGACTCTCTCTGTCTACTCCTCCTCTTTCCTCTCCATTTTAGACCCCTTTGTAATAGATGAGGTGGATGACCATCCCAGTAGTCGCTGGGCGGGACGCTCTCCACGCTCCTCTGACCCCTCAGAACCTCAACCCAAGGGATCACCAAAGAAAAAGAAGAAGAGGAAGAAGAAAGAAAGGGAGGAAGAGGAAGAGACCGGAAGAGGAGATAGAAAGGGTAAAGGTAAAAACAGGCAGCCGATACAGAGCAGCAGGGACTGCCGTGTGGAGAAGAGAGAGATGAAGGTTCGGGACCTGGGCTTGGGGTTTGACTCGGATGAGATTGTCCTCTTCAAGTTTTGTGTGGGCTCCTGCCAGCCCTTGAGAACAAACTACGACCTGGCCCTGAAGGTACTGCTGAAGAACGGCTCGCTTCCTCGGCGCACCGCCCGCAAGATCAGCAGCCACCCCTGCTGCCGGCCCAACCGGTACGAGCCGGTTTCCTTCATGGACGCCGAGACCACGTGGAGGACCATCCAGTCGTTATCAGCTGCCAGCTGCATGTGTATGGGCTGAAGAAATTATGACCTGTCCTGAACAGAAAGGAGTCAAGAGGCTCAGTGTGAGGAAGGCCTGGGGACAGGGCAGAGCCAGAGGGGGGTGCTGTAAGACACATACACAACAGAGGAAGTGATGGAGGCCACTTTCTGTGGTGTATTTCCTGTTGAGGAGGAAGAGGTCCGGGCGCAGCTGGACGGACGAGGTCAGAATCTGAGGGGGAAGTCATCGGGGATTCACAGTCTGGATTTATTGTTGTGTCTTCAAAGAGTGAATTGTTTTCAACTGAATAACTGGTGACTAATGCAGGACACTACAGACCAGTTATTACATACATAAAAGAGAGACTCTATATGTGAACAGGACTGTTTTGCTTTAATATGGGCAAGACCTGAAGGCTGAAACAAACAAAGAAAGGACTGACACTGTGTTTATATTCTAATTCAGACAAAAGACTGATTTGATGTTCATGATTATTCACAGTGAAGCATGTCCTCACGCAAGCAATATCATTTTCATTCATCACATAAAAACAGGCATTTCTTTGTTTTCTATTTTCAGGTGAACTCAGACAAATGGATGCCATGCATCTTCATGTATTACTGTATACAAGTAAAATATATTTATTTCTGATAAATTATTTATTTATTATAGCTTGATATGAAAGCTGTTTTTATTAACTCCATATTGTAGATAAATATCTATTTATTGCCAAGATTCAGTTTTTATGTTGACAGTTACTTCTGCTCACATACAGTACGTACATTTTTTATTTTTATTTTTAAGGTGCTGATTTTCACATTTATTCAATGCCTCATAAACCTGGACAGCTGACTCTGGGCAGGATTAGATAGGATGCAATAAATATTTCTGAAGTTAATTGAATGATTTTATAAAACAAAGTGTGATTCTCTCTGATATTTAATCCCAGACAGACCTTTGAAAAACGATGCTAATAATAGACCTACATTAAAATGATGTGGTATACTTTATCAAGTCTGACAGCTGTTCTCTTGTTTCGTGGTTAACAGTGGGTAATGATAACATCTTTTTCACAGCATAATGGAAACAGTCTCAGTGTCCAGAATGTGTGTACAGCAAACAAGTAAAACATGTATACTACAGGAAAGTTACACACTACCAGTATGTCACTATTCATGTAATTATTATTATTATTATTATTATTATTATTATTATTATTATTATTATTATTATTATTATAATTATTATTTTATAAAGTTTACTTTATTTTTGTATGGCATTATCCTTTAAGGGAATAAAGTTTTCTAATATAATTCTTGTTAGCACTGTTTACTTCACTGATTACACAGTTTGAGGGGTTTTCTCAACTTGACCTTCATAATGATTTCAGGATTAACTCCACTTTACCTTTTTCCAGGTCACTTTATACTGGACTGCCACCTGCTGGTCTAAAATAAGCACCAAATGGGAACCTGTTGTCCCCTGTTTAAACTCTCCTGCCACCTGCCTGTTCAATGGAGACATTTGCTTTGAAAATAATTTACTGTTCTTTGGCCATTAGAACAAGTAGAACTCAGCAGTGTGTTGTCTTTGGTGTCCTTTTATTTCTCTGCACAGACCCACCAACACATCCAACAAACACCACAGGTCATACAGCTTACAGTACAGCAACAGCAGTATTGTTTTTTTTAATTATTTTCTAAAGGGTGATATGTTCACATTGGCTGTTTACAACTGCAGTTATCAAAACATTGTATGCAACTGTGCAATATAAAATGAGATTTAACAATGTTCAAAAGATCTACATTCAGTTTTCCCTGCATCATGCAACACTGTTGAATGGCACAAATAGGCAGTAAATTAGCAGCAGGTAGATTTAAAAAAAAAAAATGAAATAAAGTGAAACAACAAGACGTAATGAATAAACATGTATTGTGAATGGCACATATGGATTCATACATTGTATCAAACTCTAAGAATGTCACATATTTTATTTGTACCCATAGGGTATGACTATATTTTGTTTAAATTTCCATATTTGGAAATTATCACCACCGACACTGACCACCGGTGCTGTCTGTTTACTTTCACCAGGAATCTCATAATAGAGCATATCCTCTACCAGTGTGGCTACTGGTCAAATTACATTTGCTAGGGGACACTGGAACCAGCACCCATAGTGGGTGTGGTGACCCCCAAAACTATCACCACCAGTGATACCCCGCCCCTTCAATATCCACCAAGTTCACTGCACACATTATACTTAAAGCTCCAGGTTGGGGTCTTGTGTTTTTCTGCACCTCAACTAAATGTAGATGTATTCTGGTTGATAGTAAGAGGATGTTGCACATGTAAAACTGGACATTTCATACTGCATAATCACATGTTGTACTCATGTTGGATCCTCATCACTTACCCTAAAAGTAAAGCCTACATTGAATTTAAAGGCCTTTCTGCAGCAGCTTACATCATATAAGAGAGATGTATCAATCAGTGCTAATGTTGAGAGGATTCCAGTCACAGTTAGTTGCTAAGTGCTGTTTCAAGTGTTATCATTCATTTAAACTGATATGGCTCCTCGGTGGTTCAAAACCATCAGAAGTAACTCATAGTGTGCAGCGCTGGGTTTCGAATCTGTTGAATCAAAAAGTACCAGTTTGCTGTGCAGATGAAGCAGCTGCCGAATCATTTCTTAACTCATGGTGGCAAACAACAAATGTCTATCAAAGGCATTTCTCTGACTGACATGAACTCGGTGTGCTGAACGTGCAGGTGACAGTATCCACTCTTCTAATATGTGAAGAGAGGAGCGGTGTCGCGCTGCGTCCTGGAGACTTGGCCGCCACCTCCTCTTTGGAGTCGGCTCCTACTTCCTCCTCACAGCCGAGGATCGCGGTCGACTCGACGCTGAACGGGTGAAAGTTGACCCGGGCAGTGTCATACTCCCATGCTTGCCTCATTGCGAAGTCCGTGAAGGATTTGTTCTTGATGGGCCCCCGGTGTTCCACGTCGTTCCTGTAGCTTGCTGTGCGTAATGACGCGTAACTGGTGTCATTGCTGTTTAAAGAAGGAGGGGAGTGTTGACCTCCTACCCAGCCAATGTTGTCACCACGACCATCCTTAACCAGAGCCACTGTCCTCTTTAACTTCTCACAGCCCTTCAGTAACAAGTTCTTCCGGCACAAAATGTACACCCAGGGGTCTAATATGGGGTTGAATGAAGCGAAGCGGATCGCCAACATGTCGCTCCGGTAGTCAGGCTTCCCCCCAGCAGAGATATAAGCAGGGTCGTATAGCTGGTTCACAAAGATTCGCACCTGTCACAAAGAAGAGACAGAGAATGTATAAAATAAATGTTTTAATAACAAATAAAACTGACACCAATAACTAAACGTGTTTGACACGCACCGTGCGCTCATACCACAACAGAATACACAGAATAAAATAGCACATTGTCCTTACCACTAAAGGGATGGAGCAGACCAGGAAAACGATGGTCATGAAGATCAGAAGCCAGAACATTTGGATTTCCGCCGCTGAGGTGACTGACGGCAGTCGGGGGAACCGGCGACGTGACCCCCCTTGCTCAGACAATTCCGTCCTGACTATTCCTGTCTTCTGGTTCATCCCCACCAGCGACTTGCACACCGCCACATTACATAAAACTGTCACTGCGATCAGCACCAGCATCACCCCGCCGTACAGGAAGGAGTAGCAGGCTCCGACTGGATCTATCGCCCTCCAGTCCAGAAAGCACCAAGTCCCGGGAAAGTGACTGACGTGCTGCCCGAAGCCAAAACTGGGCATGATGCACAGCACAATGTTGGCCAGGTAGGTGACCAGGAGCGCAAAGCGCGCCATTGTTCGATCTATGTGCTGGGAATAGAAATACGCATGGTTAATGGCCAAGTATCGTTCCACAGCCATGGCGCACAGGATGGACATCCCGGCTGAGCCAAAGAAGAGCATAGAGAAGGAGAAGAAGTGGCAGAGCAGCGCTCCTCCCGGCCAGCGATTGGCCACATACGTAGCGATCACCACCGGGCTGGTGAAGCATGTGCCCAACAGGTCCGTGATGGCCATCCCGCAGACCAGAGTATAGAAAGTGGTTTCCTTCTGCTCCTTTTTGGAGATACACAGCACAACTATGGCGATGAGGTTCCCCAGGACTCCCACGGCGAACATGGTGGCTGAAGTGACCAGAGACTTGGACTCCAGCCGGAGCGCAGGGAACCCACTGTGGTTCTGGCTGAGAGAGAGAGGCGGCAGCGGCTCCGAAACATTTGTGTCCAGTTCTCCAAACGCAAGAGTGTCGTTGATCATTATTAAAACCAAAGTGCTCTAACTTTCTGTGGTGTTTAGAAAACTTGCTCCGGAAATATAGAGCGCTAGACAAAATACACCATCATTAACTGCAACATTACATCATGAAATTACCTATTTCCGATAGAGCATAAAGTGCATTACACTGAAGTGATTCTTTTGTTCTGTTTCCAGCAGTGTTTGTCTCTGATGTGCCCATATGAAGGTGTGCCTGGTTGTGTTTACACTGCTCGGGGCTGCGGGTATTTAAGCTGTGTGCTGATGTCAGGAGAGTGACGCGCAGGCTGTAGGCGCAGAGAGCCAGGTTTCCCAGGATCACATTTCTGCAGCCAAAGAATCAATATTCAACACTTTTCACTGCTCGTCACGTTATTAGCCTCAGGTAAAATACCAGTAGTCCGCTCACTAAAGCCAGGAGCCGAATGTCAACATCTGGTTTCATTTAGTAGAGAAACTTTTGTCTAGTTTGTGGATAGACTGACATTATTTTTTAAAGAGTAATTACACTAAATAAATGTAATATTGATCACACCAGAGTTTCACCAGCCTGACCGGCACATATTTACATTACGGAGAATATCAGTCTTACAAGTTCAAGCTCCTGCATTTGTCTGACCTTTTGATTAAACTTTACCAATCGATTGTCCCCATATCATATATATACAAATGTGGTTTCACAGGCTGAACAGGTTGATTATAAAAACAGAACTGGTTTGTGTCATATGGTCCAGAGATAAAAGTAAGTGGTGCAGATTGTGTCATAAATCCCTCACTTCAGCACCAAGGCCAGCGCCTTCAACTCGACCAACAGCACCGATAGAGACACTGCCGCAGTTTGGAACCACAAACTCTGCATTTAACCAATTATCGATCTGAACTGAACGACCTGATTAAGTTACAATCGATGTCACAATCCAAGCCACATGTTGACTGTAGGTTATCATCCAAACCAGAAAAATCCATTCATCACAATGCCTCCGATGCACTTCGGCTTCCGCTGGACAAACTTCATTAATCACATCGACCACAGGGCTTCACATGGTTCTTTTGCAGAAGAGGACTCATGGGGACAGACTCTCAGAGTTAGTGATTATATATATAAATGGCTCTGCAGTCCCTCGTCCTTAGCTGTAGACTGCCTTTGACTTCCGGGTATGAAGAGACAACAACAGCAGTTTCAGTAGCTCACAGCTCAGACTGTTTACAGGGAAAGAAACACGAGCAGGAATGATTTTTGACAATTGTTTTGTCTTTGTTGTCAAGTTATTTCAAATAAATCAATCTCCACAACAATGTATAGCTTTGGATTTAAAGGGTCCCTTTTTTCTTTAAAGAGTCTTCTGAGACTTCTTCACTAAAGCATCCATCCACTGAACAAAACACTGCTGACCGCCTAAATACACTGCGTCGTTTAGTTCCACACAAAGGACGGTGCCAGTGCTGTATTTTCGTGGTTTGAAATGTTTGGAGTTTTTCTCGACTGAATCTCGACTCCAGAAGGTTTATTTCTGCGCCTGGAGTCGTGTTTAATTTTCAAACGGGCGCAAAGTGAGAATGGCTGCTCAGTTTGCGAGGGTCGGTTTGATGTGGTCTTCAATGGTATTAAAAGGGAAGCTTGTGTTGGGGAAGAGAGGCGAATAAATCTTTATTTAATCTACATCCATCTCATATACAGAAGAAAAGGGATTAACGGAGGGCAAAATCCTCAGAGACCTCAGAAGTGAACTCAAAATAAACACATTATCATCACCATCTGCTGCTTCACTCTCTCTTATAATGTCCTTTCCTCTCCTTAATAAACCCTACATTATAAACACCCATAAGGTTTATAGGCTATATTATAATTTCATAAGTGACCATTATTAATAATTCAGTCATTCTCAGCCGAAATTGCATTGGAGCCCAGTGCGCATCTCCTGATCTTCTCTTCCTGAGCTGAGCCTCAGACTGCGCCTGCAGGGGAGCCCCGGAGCTGCTGCCCTGTGTTTTTTGCACAGTGGTGGAAAATTATTCAGATCGTTTGCTTGAATAAAACAATACCACTCTTTAAAATGTTCTATCACAAATAGAAGACCTGCACTGAAAATTCTACTTAAGTATATGTAAGTATCAACGGTATTAACAAAATGTGCAAAATATCAAACATACGTGTGCAGACAGTCGGCAGCTGTGACTGTTTTATATTTTATATTATTACATTTCTGTGATACTGAAAGCAGGCTTTTAATTTTGTTGGAGGTGGAGATTAAGCTAATTTTAAACCCTTTTATTTACTGTTGGTTACTTGGATCAATAACAGTTCATTTGTATGTAAAATCTCATTTGGGAACATAACTACCAGCTATAGCTATCAAATCATTTTAGTTTAGTAAAAAATACAATATTTCTTGCTGAAAGTAAAATGACAAGTTGCATAAAACAGAAATTGTCCAGCAAAATACCTCAAATTGTACTTAAGTTATGAGGTGGGGTTTGTTTAATCAAACTAACACAAAGTTGTTTGAGATTTGGAAAACTGACATCTTAAACATTCTTGTTGTTTCTAATATAACTTATACAGCATGCTCTAACATGGCATAATAGATGACATAAAGTTACATATAAGTAATTAAATAAATATTCTATAATCACAACTACAGTAAATAATAGTGGTGTCTTTGTAGTATACTACTACATATGCTATAGGCAAACCATTTACAACAGCTAGTGTTACACACAAACACACACACACACACACACACACACACACACACACACACACACACACACAGCAACAGGAGTAGGATAATCCAATCAGTGGAAATTAAAGAATTCATCATATACAATGGAGGAAAGGTCTGTCTGATGGTAGACTGTGGCGGAGGCTAAGGCTGTCTGTCTTTGTCTGTGTAAGTGGATTCCTCCTCCTCTCATGGACTGATGCCCCCTGGGTACACTTGTGTCTGTGTGTGTGTGTGTGTGTGTGTGTGTGTGTGTGTGTGTGTGTGTGTGTGTGTGTGTGTGTGTGTGTGTGTGTGTTTTGAGTGTTAGCCCTCAGTACTGTAATAACCCAAAGCTTTCAGACGTCAGTGACTGCGATGCCCACACATAAAAATATACACTCTCTCTACACACAGCCTGAGGGACTCATAGCCATCCACACACCGAGCAGAGTGGGTTTAATAAGGATTTCTTTGGTGTGTGAGTGGGCTTATGTACACGTGTGTCATTATTCTTCTCACCCGGCGCCTATGATCCTCTGGGATTCCCCATCCAAATTACAGGACGTAATCTAATTTTAGAGACCCTAATCAAGTGTCCTTGGAGGGTATATGCAGTCTTAAAGGATGCTGAAACATACACACACATTCATTAGCTTGGCTGTGAGGGGAGGAGGTTGATACGTGTGGGAACCCCACTGGCTGGTTTAATGGTGTTAATGGTTTGATTGGGCATCTAAGTTCTCAATGAGCAATACGACTCAAGAGCTTTGGAAGATTCTCATTGCTTATTAGGTACAAAAGACTACATACGATTTTCTGTTTCGAGGAAAATCAATAAGTAAGTTAGGCATTGATCAGTACGTGATGCGTTCACAATCAAAACGCTGCACAGCATAATTATACTGGGCTGACTGCTTGCATGCAATAACAATAATTCCTTTGTTTCCAGTGTGTGTATGTTTAGTTTAACAGTTCTGCAGGAAGGTTTAAAGGAATTGTTTAACAATGGTGGATATACAATTATTCACTTCCTTGCCGGGTCTTTTGTCTGTGCAGTAGATATACGGGGGGGAACTGTTAGCCTAGTTCCATCCAAAGTTATCAAAATCAGACACAAATTGGGTTTGTTTAATCTATACAAAACCAAAGTGTAAAAACAAGATGATAAAACTGAATGTTTTTGGCAGGAAGCAGTGACTGTCTGATGACTCCGGAAAGTCACTGCTCCCAGCCCCGAAATAGTCCGACACATACACCTGTTGTGCAACACTATTTGTTTTTAAACATGCAAGCAAGATATGACGATGTAACTTAATGAGCTTTAGATGTGTGTGTAGGCAGTTTCTGTTATCTTGGGACAAAGCCAGGTTAACTGTTTCCCCCTATTTCCAGTCTTCATGCTAAGCTAAGCTAATTTCCTTATGGCTGCAACTTCATGTTTACTATATATAGGTGTAAGATAGGTAGCTAACAAGCTAATAAACATATTTCCCCAAATGTCAAACTCAACTTTGCATTAATTCAATCGAAACACACATGCAGTCATTTTCTAATTGTCTTTACTAGTATAACAAAGAAACTGCAGTGTTATAGTCCCATTTGGCTAAATGTCCTCTTCACAGCCTGTACAGGTGATTTCTCTAAATGGAATAAAACATGTTCCCCCTTTTGTTGTTTTGCAAGATGGGCCTGCTATTAGTGCAAATTACCGGATAAAAATCACAATTTCAATGTTCCATTGAAATAGCTTGAATAACTCAAGTGTTGTTTTTCCTCTGACATATGTGAGCCCTTGGAGGATTAATGGTTCAAGAGGAAGCCCATTTATTTCTGCTGAGGTGAAATATTTGCCTCCACAGGCAAGAATTAATTTAGGAGTAACAAGCAGTGCTACAGTTAGAGAAAGAGATATATTACAGATGGAAAACATTAAAAACAGAGGTAGCCGCTTTGTTTTCATTAATTTATTCACACGCTCCTGCTTTCGAGGGCTTCATAGAGACAGCAAGTTTCCTTTCTGGGTGAAGGAAAGAGCAACATGTGGTGACGGCTCAATGTCGGTGACGTCCACGCTGCTGCTGTAATTTGATGGTGATGCTGGTCTGTCTTTTCTGGCGTCACACTGCTCAGTGCTGGCGGTGGCATCATCCAGTTTTATCTGATTTTTCCTTTCCACCACTGCTGCCTCTCCACACAGACGTCCAATCACACAGCTGCTTCGACTGCAACATGCCAAGCTCATTACACTGGCAAGCTAAGGCTCATTTACTCTCACTCTCCATTTATTTTATTTTCCCCTCTCTGGTTCTCTGTCTTTTGTCCCTGACCTCCAATTAAGTCTTTGACTGTCATTTTTTCTTTCTTTCTTTTTTTATTGTGTTCAGTGTTATAGCATATTTATAAAGGTGTTTATTATTTTTGATGTTATGGGAAGATGCCTGTTGATTTGACATCATCTATATATATATAGATGTAGGCCCACACTGTGGTCTATTGTACATTAGATGGGTATGATAAGCCCTGGGCACAGTACACATCTGTTCCATACACAAGCATACACGTGCACCAAAACACAATTGCTTAACAGTTGTTTTGGCAAGTATT